AAAAAGCTAAGAAAATTGTCCAAAAGCTGCTGAAATCCTCTGAAAATAATCTGCACCTTGAATTAATAAAGACTGTTGATCCTGAATATGAGACCTTGATTTTCCTCCATACATATCTTCATCTGAATTTTGACCATGGTCAACGCCGGCGTTCCCCTGTAAATATTGAGTCTGCATATACTCTGCCCACTTCATATCTTCTTCGACTTGAAACCCATTATTATTAATAATATTATTAATATTGTTGTTGTTGATGATGATGGTGTCATTAGTGTAATTAGTGAGAAAATTGCAGTTCTCTTGAGGCTCATGAAAATTTGGAGGCTTTTTGTGTGTGTTGGCCCAGCTGTAAGCAGAGGTTGGCGTAGCAGCAGCATAAGGATTGGAATAATAATAATCATCATAAAGCAGCTCGAAAGGCTTTGGGTTCGGGCTGAAGAAATGGGTTGCATTCGAATTCGGCAAAAGCCCGGTGCACGGCGCGTGCCCGAGGCTCCTGATCAAGGCGAGCGAATTATCGGGTACAGGGGGGGTGCAGTGATTTCCGACGAGAGGATAATTGGGCCGGACGGGCTTCTTCTCTTCCGGCAGGCTGTCGGTTGGATTCTCGACCAAGCTGACCTCGCTCGATCCTTGCGTGTTGGCGGACGAGGCTGCGTTTTCTTGATCGTCGGGCTTCGGGAGGGGCTTGTGCGTGGTGGGGTCTATGCCTCTTTGCCTTAGCTTTTTCTTGAGTGATGAATTCCACAGGTTCTTGATCTCGTTGTCTGTTCTGCCCGGCAGCTGTGCCGCAATTTGCGACCACCTGAAAAAACAAAAACCCAATACAGTACAATTAAACAAAATTAAATCATGATTATGGTTATGATATATATAATTTAGTAAAACTAGAGAGAAATAAATGAAATAAAACAAAAAAAAAAAATTAAGTAAGTAAATGACCTGTTTCCAAGAAGTGCATGCAGCTCGATAATGGAATTCTCTTCATCCTCAGAAAATGCACCTCTTTTCAAATCAGGCCTCAGATAATTGATCCATCTCAATCTGCAGCTTTTGCCACACCTTTGCAGCCCTTCAAATGCAAATATAAATAAAGTCAGGGGCCAATTTGTGAGGAGATTTAATTTAAGTAACTTAAGAGTAGTTGATACAATTATTACCTGCTAGCTTAGGAACAGAGCTCCAGCAGCCATGGCCGTATTTGGTTATGTGCTTTATAAGTTTTTCATCTTCTTCGGGGGACCAAAGCCCTTTCTTTAGTTTCTGCTTGTAGCAACAAGAATGTCTGCCCATTTTTGTTCACTAATGCTGCTGCTGCTGCTGCTGACGACGACGACGACTTCGACTTTGCCTAATAAAGAAGTCTTTTAGCAAGCTAAGCTGCTAGAGAATATATATACTTGGAGAGAGATATATATAGAAAGAGAGTTGATTCTTGAAAATGAGATTCATATATAGGGAATGATATGAAGTAGTAAAACATAGAGGGAAGGGATTCAAATTAATTAAGGATATGATACATTTTTTGGAGGATTTTGTAGTGATTTTGGGCTACTTATTTAATAGCCATTTGGGATTTTTTTTTTTTTTTTTTTTTTTTAAAAAAATTTTGTTATAGAGAATGTGAAGTTTGAAGAGATGATGAGTAGCTAATGTCTCATCAAAGAGGTGTTTTTTAAGATAATAATAATGAGATTGACAGCGCTTGTGGGACATCTCATACATATATTTATTTGGTGGGAAAAAAATAAAAATATTGTGAATTTTCCCTTTTATTTTCTCTTAAAATTTATGAATGAATGTCTCAACACAATAAATATGGTGAAAAGTTTTTCCCTTTTACTTGGTACATAGGCTTTGGACCGTTCGGCTTATACATGTGCATCGAGAAGCCAATTCAACGGACCGTATGGTGTCACTAGCAGCCGATTCCACGTTAAGATTGAAAAGGATCTCGTAACCCCCTCAACATTAGTGGGGTCATATACCCACGCCACACTCTAGTTTCGTAGTTCTCGGGCCTTAGGCCCCGTCAATGTACCAAAAAAAAGAAAAAATATTTATTATCTCGGCAAATAGTAAATATGGTGATGATTAAGAAAATAGTGAGAGCATATCCAAACTTGATAATCTCAAGTTTTATGTTCAGTCTTAAATTGTGAATGAAATTGATGTGTAATATATATCTTTGAAAAGATTGTGATTTCATGATGGTCAAAGTTTTGCTAGCTAGGTATTTTCCTGCAAGTTTTTTTTTTTTTTTTTTTTTTTTTTT